TATGAAAACCCTAACCACGAGACTAGGTTACATAGGCCCCGTTAGGCTCCCTGGCTGGGGACCTTGGGATGATGGTCATCGATGGTTAGAGACACTGAGTGTTATGGCTGGGTTTCGCAAACAGTGGCGTTCGTGCATCCACTCATTATTCCCCTATCATTATTCTATATGAATTCTCCAACTTCCCCTTGAAGTTGCCTTAGACATTCCAATCTTCATTTTGCTCTTTTATCCAAATGTGGCACGAAAAGACAGCAACCAAAACTCGCGCACGAAAGTGCAGGGTTAATAGTTGTAAAGACTGGACTGANGGACTGAACTGAACAGCTGAATTGCGGTGTTGTCCCGCGTGTACCAATTAACTGAAAATATTGCAGGTCATAGACGTAGAGTTACACAGAGTACGAGAACAGAATGAAGATGGGATAGGTTGGAAACAATACCATTGCTCAGTCGATAGCAAAGATTATACATTATTATATATATTTCACACACGTCTGAATCCAGACTGTGCCAAACAAATCATGGTACAATAATCTTCATAAACAGAAAAAACGTTCCATGATTTGCATGTGGGCGGAATATTGCCAGGTTGCCCAGGACAAGGCAATCAGAAAAGAGGTTGCTGCGTAGAAAACTGACTAGGCCATCGTAAAGAATCAAATCATATTTCGAAGTGCTTTTTATCAGCCATGTGAGCAATACAAATGCCTTGTCAACCCAAACAGGAAACATAAAACGAGAAGAATAAGTCCCGTGACAAAGTAGGCAAAATCGAATAAACTAAGAAATAATGTTAGGGGTACCCTCATATACCCAAAACGGGAGATTTAACATGTTTGTCTACTAACCTTAGTGAAAGTTGTCTAAAAGTTATAGGACCAGTTAAGACCAGATGTGAGACAAACACCACAAGATATTTAAAAACACGAAGCTCGTTCTATGCTGGATAGTCAATGACGATTCTTGGTGATGGCTGACGAATGGAAGAACAAAGTCCACGGTCAGTAAACGTTCAACAGATTTTTTTGGGAATTGATAGAGAAAGATGAGACTAAGACTACTACACTGCGACCTGTGAAACGTACCGTTGTAGCGGTTCATGCTGGGGTATCATAGTGAGACGTGAATCTAATCACAATATCAGTGGCGTACTTGAAAACAAACGTGAACTGTTCAGGAAGAAGACTGTTCATGTTTCACGAAAATAGAAATGGTGGAAGGATAACAGCGGTAGACTTGAGAACGCCTAAGCAGACTTACGGGCCCCGATCGATGTAGTGATCATGCAGCCCGTTGGACAAATAATGGAGAAATGCTATAATGAGAAAGATAGGATTCTGTTTGAATAACCGAATGAGTTCTCATTATAAAGACAATAAATGGAAATTACATGGTGTTTTGTGTCAATGGCTGAGATAAGAGAATGGGTAAAACATGGTACGGCATCCAAGATAGAGCGTTGTCCTCAATAAGAAAATTGGTTGGAATCGGAAGAGGAGATTAAGCTCTCGAGGGTACCAGTGATAATCCGCATAAGAGACTTATGTAAGATGGTGAAACAAACCCTTCACCTTTGGCGGTACATATTTCTTCCGAACAAACCGTCACACACCAACCACCTTTTCGTGGTACACGGAACGAGCAAGTAATGAAAAAAATATTGGAGAGTAGAACAATGCTAGGCTCCATGGCTTACACCACGGCAGATTTCACTACATCTCAACTGGTACAATACGGCAGAAAACTACAGTTTATATCGCTGAACAGTACAAAAGGTTACACAAGATACGATAGGGACGAATCATTACACTTTTACCACTACCATTGACAGTGCGACTGATAGTTCTTTTGCACACACAGGCCAGGTTTCCATTTCCTCATTACAACCGATTCCGCAAACCTAGGCAGTCGGGGGTTGGTGTCAGTATAAACGACCTTAAATCGGCTTATCGGGTTCGGATAACGAATCATGGTCCGGACCCGTCAAGCCGATTTAAGGTCGTTTCTTCTGACACCAACCCCGGATGCTTAGGTTTGCAGAATTTGCCCACCGAATAGTGTAACCCAAGAACTGAGAGCATGAAAGATGATATCTCCTTCAAACCAATGCAGTTCAAAAGAAGAAAATGACGAACACTCAAGAGAAACAACATAAAAGGTAAGGTCAAATATGAGGAAAATCAACCGAATATTCCTTAAACATGCATAAGAAATATGACTTACTAGAAAGACCCTGGATCCAGTAGTCGAACATCTCCATGTCAACAAAGTTCGGACAAGTCACTGTCACATCCATAATGCACATAGATTGTGATACACTGGAACGAGGCCAGTCCATCATCACACGTAGCGGCTCACCGCCACCTATGGACGAAGTACAAAGCCACATTGAAGAAGCGAAAATGATTAAATTTCAGATAGGTAAGGTAAATATCTCTACGTAGCGGCGAGAATGAAACAATTATAACTCAAGTTTAGACTCCTCCTCCGAATCAAAACTAGAAAAGTTAGTGATATAGATAGTGGCAAACGCCTCCGATGCTACCGGTTATCGATAGATGCCTATTTATAAAGTTTGTGTGGTTCGTAGAACAGCTATATTTCCATTCCCGACGAAGTCATATTTATAGGCCTTCACAGTGAAAAATGAAGTAAATAGAGAAGGGCTACCTGGTCGAATGATTACAATCCAAATTATTATTCTACTTAGCCATACAAAATTATTATGCTGCCTGTTGTAAATGGTTTTGTACAGCTGTGATCCCAAGGTGGAAAAAAACTTTTTCATAGAGACGCTACATGATTCACCATTCCGAACATGATACTTCAGTTGAAAGCTCCATTGTCCAATGGAACACGTACCCTCGTGACTGCATGGCTGGGTAAACACCGAACATGTGCGGTGCATAGCTCAGCTAGGTTTAAATAATCCCCAAGTCGGTACCATTCTAACGCTTTTACTGTTCTATAGGGAACCCAACCTCATGTTATGGTTTTTACTTGATTCAGATTGTAAAGAGCGTTGCACTCGGGTTCAGTGGGGTATTGCGTGGTCCACCGTAGAAACTCTCAGAGGTTATTTGGCCACCTTACGCAACTTACTAGTAAATGTTGTCTATCGTGTAGTTTGCACCTACAGATCAGCAAACTAAGCTGAGCTGAAACACTACACTGATGAGTGGCCATATGATTTGAATGTTCTTCAATTGGTGGATTTCATGGACCAGCCGGAACAATAAGTTGATTGTGCGCCCTTAGCATTATGGTTCACAGAGTCAAGAGGATGAATATGAACCGACAGATGAACCACAATCCGACACAGTTGACAAGAGCACGAATAGTTCGAAGATTTGCAGGGAGAAAGTTCTTGTCGACAGCGCTTGGTATTATCTATGTGGATCTTTCACGCTTGAATGTTGAAGTGAAATAAGCACGACTCATCTATTTCTTCCATTCCTCTTGCTTATTCAGTCCTCACAGTTCCGAGTAGCCATGCGAGACAGTTATCGTCTAAGTATAGGAACATCGTGAACCGGAGTCCCAGTAGCGCTGGATTCTTGTTCCAAGCTTTCCAGGCCACATGCCATTAAGCGAACCAATGTCTTACCACCTCAGGAAGGCAATTCTTTGGAATGGGCCTATTGGCCAAGTTACCTTTCTACCTTATTTCTTTCATTTCCAACGAAAATATCACATCCCTAAGATAACCTTAACTTTGCAAAGCAATGTATTCGTCTTTAGTTTTTTTCGATTGCAATCAGAGGTAATCTCAAAACAACTGCGTATATTTTTATAAATTCTGTCTTTTTTATTTAGCTACGAATATACCAGCAAACAAGAACTCTGGTGGTTATTCCATAGTTACATCATCTACTGGCTCCGAGAACCGCTCATCGAGATCGATTTTCATCAAATTTATATTTTGCTTATTGTTCAGTAATCAAAATTACAACACCGCGAAACTGACGGGGGTTAGAAAAGAGTAAGTTTGCGACTAACTGTAGCAACAGTTGACCAGTCACGTTCAGGTGACAATTTTCTCTCACACACTACGCTGTATTTTACAATGTGAATCGACTCGATCGGTTAGAAAACCGAAAACCTCAGCATGGTCGGGGGTGGGTGTTTGGGCTGGTCACCCCACCGTTGCACCTCGAGAAATGCTCCCATAAGACCACGCATCCCAAATAGTCTCTACTGAGGAAGCCCTTCCCGTGGCGGTTTTCGCACCAAAGCGAGGGGACCAAAAACCAACATCCGGGGCTATAACCTGAAATACTACGATTTGCGCCGAAAATGCTCTACCTTCAAGTGCATAAATAAGTTTGGAAATACGGAATGCAGCGCTTCAAGTATCGCGCGATCTTATAATTCGTCAAAGATTTGCACAGCGAAGTACTACCTGTAGGACATTCGAATGTGAGCGAACGCCTTGCTTGGTAGCGGATCACCTTCGTGCATGTGCCGCTGTTTCAATAATATTTTTAACCTACTATCCTAGAGGTTGCTTGCCACATTCTCTGGCATCTCTGGTCTTCTGCGATCGTTGATTTTGTGAATCAATGCACACCTAGTCACGGTTACCCAGTCAACTAATAGTTATTCTATCTGTAATCTGGAGATGAGTTCCCAAGTATTCACCTGATCCGACCATAGACTTACGGGGAGATTCCTCAAATGAAGATAAATCATTCACGTACTACAGAAGATTTCCACAGTGAAGCACAATAAAGGTAAGAACTCATTTGTACGTTATGAATATATATTTGACCATAGATTAAAAAGGAATACAGAGGACAAACACTCCATTGAAAGATTTATTCACCAGCAAACGTCACTAATATAAGCACTCAACACTCTCATTGCCGTACAACAAACACCATGAAGATGGGGCACGCCAGACATCGTGAGGAGGGAGAGTGGTCTTGTTTTCTGGAAGCAAATCTAACCATTGGCTTAATTTGTGTACAACAAACAAAGCATCACCGGCATTATCCCCCTCAGAAGCGAAGCAATTCAGGAGGCAAACGGGAAGACCATTAGGACCGGAGCATTCATCAAAGAACTGACTAGCGATTCCGCTTCCAGGTAAGTGAAAAGTGGTCTTGCAAGAACCTTCTGCAAGGCCTGCAAGCACCTCCTGTTCGAAAGGGACCAAAGAAGGCCATTTCTTATCTTTCAGCTTCTGACGATCGGTGTCGTTAAATGAACTGGACAAGGCGTATCGCATTTGGGACTCCATGAGTTCCGCATCCTAGAGAAAAGTACAAAATCGACGAACTAAGTAAGTAAAGCGAACAATCCGAATCACAAAAATTACTTTCACTCCATTCATTCAATTGACTAAATAAAACAGCAGAGTATAAAACCTGCAAGAGATAGTGACTATTAGGGATCGAAAATCCTGAATCAAAAGCCAACGTTAAACCATATTGGGCATTCAGCTGAAGAGAATACCTCATTCCCAAGTACTACCGGAAAGCTTCCCAATGAGCTGAGATTACGCTTTCTTCTGCGAGATGCTTAGCATTGTTTTCTCTTAACGAGTGTGCTTGTGTCGAATTAAAAAGAGATAAAATAATAGGGTATATGAACGAATTACTGAACCAAAAGCAAAGAGATTGCGGGGGAATATTACTTTTATTTCAACTTCTGAAAAGGAGGACAAAATGATCCCTGTCATTATGAAACTGTTGGACAGAATCGCGGTTTGACAGAAGCATGATCGGACTGTTAAAGCTAATGGTCGAAACTGGATCATCGTCATCAGCGAACTGTTCAATCAAGTAATTACAAGAGCTTCCTTGAGTACACTTCCTAGTCTGGTTTGAGCGACCGAGTGGTAGAACAGCCTATAACCCAGGTCAAACGAAAATGTTTGCTTTTGTTTACTCTTTGTCCATTATTATATTGAAGCTCCAGCTCAATAATACATTCGGCTAAAAGTCTCACCTTTCTGCACTCCCACTCACCTAGCGGTTTCGGCAGTATCTTCACTTTTGACTGAACGAGAGGTTTGAAATAACACAAACCTCCACCCTCCTATCAGCGGAGTGGGCAAAATAGAACTAACGGCGCGGAATGGCAAATTATCCTAGGTGCCAAAACTCCAGCGAAAAAATGGGTCCTCTTTGATCAGCACAAATGTCGAGTGCTTGTTTAGAAAGATGACAAATATATGCACTTTTTCAACTCTTTCATCCACTACAATAACTATACCTTGTGTACAAGAATCTTAATTCAAAGCAGATAGTGAAAATTAATTGGTGGCTGTTTGCTTCCATGAAGATCCCAAATGTCGTAAGAAGGTCAGAGGCGGTGTTGTTACTTCCCTGAGTAAGTGCGCAAATTTTTTAAGTATCACTGTACAGAAATTGGTTGCCCCATTGTAAAATGTCGTTCTATTATTGTCTCAAATTTGTACACTTTTCATTTCCGCTCCGATTCGAGAAACGAACTCACTCCCGGAATCTTTAGTTTTCCCTGAGATTCTCCTGTTGACAGAGTGTTTATTGTTTTATTGTTGGCTATTTTAACCATTCTTCTGCGTTCTCACTGACGAAAGCTGCTCTAGGAGTTTGTACTCTGTAAGAGGAAAATGTCTGTTCTAAAGAGGGCTGCCACCAACTATCCTCAGTTTCAATGCCCTTATTTCCACATGTATCAACTGCCTTCTTTTACGCAGACCGAAAATTAACTTATTTAGTTAGATGAAGCAGACTAGAGTGACCCACTGAAACCTCCTATCCAGAAGTATCGCTCTTCTCAAACGATTCTTGAACACAGCCGTCACATTCTAAAATGGTTGATCAAGTCGATTAGGCAATCCACACATCATAACCACGCGGTTACAAAGAACCCGAGGAGTCATGTAGAACAAAGTACCTCATGACTACCAGAAACACTAGATTCCGCTTCATCTGTCAAATCACAAACATATGACCGAATAGTGAAACTTCGTAATTAGTGACCAGTTAATCCCACTGAACCTCCCTATTTTTAAGGGCCCATAATTAACCTATGCAGTCAATTTTCTTGCCGAGGTAACTTGGTTTTTATGTCAGTATTCCTTGCAGATCGGACTAGGTCCGGTCACCAGAATTTACCAAACCAATGTGTTATATAGGTGCATGTTTGTTTTACGTCAAAGGTTGGGGATATTTAACGAAATGCCAGCACCTCGCAAATTGTCTTCTTATAGTCTTGATGAAATAGGAAATTTATCCTTGTCGTTTCGTAGGCAATCTATTGGCTCTCCTTTGTTGTTCTAGATGGGGTAGAATCCGTACCCACGGAGACATTCGGTCCTAACACCCTAAGGTTTGAAAGAACACGACAGAGACGAAAAAACTTTCTGGTGGGCGTAGATAAACATTTTTGTGTACGCCATGTTTGTTCATTGAGCAAACTATATTAGTCCCAGTTGATGGGGTTCTATTTCGGTCGCTTTCTGAAAACACCTGTGAAACACTAAGATTACATATTTAGATTCATTATGTTTCTTACGTTTATTAATGATCATGTCTTGTACCCTCATCTAATGACTCGAATGTAAACCACACCTCGGGATGGTCGTAACCGATGGTTAGAAACACGGAATGATATGACTGGGTGTCATCAACAGTGGCGTTCGTGAATCTTCTCAATTTCTCTGTATCATTAGTCCATTGAACTTTTCAATTTTCTCTTCGATCCTACTCTCAACGTTCCTGTCTTTCTCCTAATGTTCATCCAAATGAGCAGCCAAGAGACAGCACCCAAAACCAGCGCACGAAAGTGCATGGTTAATGGTTGTACAAACTGAACTGAAACCATCCAGTTGATACCATTCCTCCTGTAATAGAGGTTACCCAGGATTTATCTCAGAATACACTCATTCCCCCATCCTCAGATTGGGTTATCCCGTCAGTTTTCAGAGATGCGAACTCAGCTTTGATCTTGGAGCTGACTAAACTCCTGGGTGTGCTCTAGTAAAGCAAACAAACTCCAGATGAATGACGTGTATCGGTCATTCTGCCGATTTGTACAGAAAGGCGACAGATTCTCTTATGAAAATTAGAAATCAAGTACTTTGTTTAAAATTGTCTCGAAGTTTATCGCGAGCATTATACTCCATCGATTGCCCGCCGCAAAGGAATAGTACTTCAGTAAGGATCAAGCTGGTTTTTAGTCGGGTCGGGAATAGACCACTGCACTTTGAACGTGCGAAAGGCATGCTGAAAGGAGCAACACAACTTGCCAGTCTGTCAAATGCGCTATGCATCCTCCATTCATTCAAACAGGCAAACGAGGTCGTCAGCGTAGTCTGGATCGCACAGCTTTTCTCCTCCAAAAGCTTCAGTATGTTCGGTGTTCAGTATCTCGGGTTGCAGTTGTCCGCGATCACCGTCGACTATAGTACATACGCATGATGGACAGCGGTAAAATCCTCTATGACGAAAGTCACCATCATCATCATCGTCATTGTACAGCGTAATACAGTGAAGCGAACTTCACTCATCGTTGCCAAACTCATAATGCATACAAGATAAGTGAGAATGTGTAAGGAGGACAGGGATTGGGCCTATTTTTAGGGACGGGAAAAGAAAGCAAACCTCTATGGTCAACACACAGAATACACAGCCCAACTGTGCATACATACAATTTCAAGCATTCTGGTTTGATCAGAAGTGACAGCATGATCGCCATTGCTGTCGGTTCGCAGCCATGACCTTCAGTGCCTCGAACGATGCGGTTTTGGAGTCTTTTGGATCCCACGAGTAACNCCTGTAACAGCCACTGCAAACAAGGCGCGCTGTGGTAGGCGACCGTCGGACATACGCAAAACGTGTCCCAACCAACGGAGTCTACTGAGCTGGATTCGATGAGATGGCGAGCTCTTGTCTGATGTATTCCCAAACACCCGACGACTTACTTCCAAGTTACTAACCCGCTCACTCCATCCCACTTGGGCCATCTACGTAAGCATCGATTGTCGAACACTGCTAAACGATGAATGTCTTCTACCCGCAAATTCAAGGTCTCACAACCGTAAAGCAGAACTGATCGTAAAGTGGCGCAGTATACGCGACTTTTCAACTTTAGTGACACGTCACGTCGCCGTCACAGTTGTTTTAATCCTGCGTACGCTGCTCGAGCCTTGGAAATGAGGGCGGTTACCTCCTTCGATGAGCAACCGTCGTTGGTCACGCAGCTATCTAAGTACGAGAAGCAGTCAAATTCAGTTAATTCCTGATAGTTTCAGAACAGAACTCGGTGACACCCAGTCTTGTAGCATCACTTTGCACTTTGAAGGTCCAAAGCACATGCCGAACGGAGCGACAGAACTTGCTAATCTGTCAAGTGCTCTTTGTGCATTCTTCTGAACAACTGGGCAGAGTACCTCGGCACAAAACTCAGAGGAAACCACTAACCGCTGCACGAAACCCAGGGATACGAAACTCCACAACTCATCAAATTTTTGCAACCTTCGCTGCTAAGCTACACAATCGTTACAGATCAATATAAAATCGATCTGGCCTGAGCTAACAGATCGGAAATCGTTGCGGTCATTATGACGACTTAAGACAGGAAGCCCCTGGCGAAGACTACATACTATTTGAAGGCTATTAAGTCTGTTTGTGAAAATCTACTAAACCCATTAACCACACTATACCGCCACATCTAGGAAGCTCACAATTTTACAAAAGACTGGGTAACATTGATCGTACCTCCTATTCCTATTCATTAAATTTCGCATAGCGTTAACAGACAGACACTTTAGAGTATACTATATCTGAACAAGTTACCCGGAAAGTACATAAGGCTGATACCCTCATATCACTGTACAAAGCAAGTGTGGTTTCGTGTCTGTGGGGAACAGTCAACGGAACTCCTACTTATGTCTAGCGTTTGTCAGGACTATCTACCTCACCACTGATCCCACTGAACTATGCCGTAGACCGGGTCATGCACTTCATATGTACCAAAAATTGACTTGATGAAGAAAAATACTATAACTATTTGATGGAGACTGGAATTGGAAAACGAAAGGTAACGGAATGGTGCGACAACATGATGTTTCTTCGTTTTAACATAACGAAATTTGACGCAAGGTTTTAGGCTGGGTTCACCTTTCAAACGCACTGTGGAATGAACTGAGTCGAATATTCTGGCTTGAACGCTAAAACAGTCTTCAATATCGAATCTAAACCATCAACGAACACAACACTTTTGTCTTAGTATGACGTAATGTTTCGAGAT